GATTTAGCTCAGCGGCAAAAGCGCCTGCCTGGCAAGCGCAAGGTCGTGAGTTCGGTTCCCGGTACCGGAGAAAAAAAAAAAAAAAAAAAAAAAGACCAAGTCGGTAGTACTAGGGATTGAATCCAAGATCTTCACACTGAGCTGTAGCCCCAGCCCATTTCACACACACACACACACGCATGCATGCATGCCTGTGTGTATTTTTTTAAATTTTCAGACAGTGTCTAAGTTCAAACTGGTCTTGAACTGTGATCCTCCTGCGTCAGGCTCCCAGAGTGCTGGGATTACAGGTGTGTACCACCACACCAGGTTTACCCAGCCCTTTACACAGCTTTTCATGTGCTGGGCTTATAGTCACTGCACCTGGTCCCCCTCGCTACCTTTGAAAACCGGCTTGAGAGCCCTTTGGAGTAACGTTTGGCACCACCCCTTCCCATTTATGCTTGCCACTCGGTTCCTAGGAGTTCATTCACCAGTTAGATCTGCATGGTCACACGCGGACTCTCTGTACAAGGGTGTGTGTGCGCGAATGTTTTGTATGAAGTGATAAAGACGGACCCCAGGTCCACTCTCTCTGGGCACAGTAAACAGTGATGCTGCACAGGGAGTGGTGAGGGGCCTCCCACAGAACCAGGCTCACAGCTGGTATAATAGACACAAGCCCTCCTGAGAAGGTTGATACCTAGGGCATGCTGAGCACTCACCTTGTGTGGTTGTGGTAGTTTACTGTGACCTCCACTGACGGTGCTCCACAAGTCTTGTTGTGAAGCCCAACCCTGGAAGTAGCCCTAGAAGCACCCAGTTGGTCATGGCTGCCAGCATCCAGCAGGGAGTGCTCTTGTCCACAACAGGGCAGCTCCTTCCAATTTTGTGGAGTAGCAGCAAGACAGAATCCTTTTTAGAGGAAGATACTCAGTGGGGTGAGACTTGTACGGCTGAGCTTGGCCTTGAGATAACCAGAGCATTAACAAGCACTCCCTGGGTGCCAGTGTGCCCAGCTGTGTCGTATGAGGCCCGAGAACCCTGTGAAATGAGAACTGGAACCATCCATTTTTCCTGGAGGAGGGCTTCAAGGCACAGGCTGAGTCCCCTGCCTAAGGCCTCATGGTGAGGGGTGGAACCAGGACCTTAATACCTCTGGTCTGGCCTGGAGTCCCTGGCTTTGCCACTTCCACGGTGTGCCAGGCGGGCCACCTCCCTCAAGAGCTTCCATTTTAGTGGAGAGGGGGATGATAAACAAGGAACAGGAACAAATAGATTAAATAACTACTGACTGTGATGCCGAGACTCTGATCACGTGACACCCCAGGCAGAGGGGCCGGCAAGCACCAAAGTTACTCTCGGTCCTGGTGGCTCATCCAGGTCCTCTTGAAGCCTGTGCCAGAAGCCTGCTCCTCAGAGAGGTGGGAGAGTTCCCACAGCTGAATTAGGAAGTCAGAGCTGGGGCCCACCATGGCTCAGAGGTTTGGGGATGGCCTCTGGGCCCGTTTATTAAGCGAGAGAAGTCGGCACACTGTTTCTCTGCTCCTCATTCTCTGTGCTCTTGGTCTTGGCAGGTGATGGTTTGGAAGAGTAACTTCGATGTTGTTGATTATGGAGAAGGAATAAAAATGCCCAGGCCCCCAGCCGCACTGGGCACCTCTGCAGGGAATCTGGTAAGTGACTTGGCAGGTGTGCCCTGGGCCTTGTGACTCTGGGCTGGGCCATGGTGAACAGCACTGTGCTCAGAAACGACAGGAGATGGAGGCTGATCTTGGGAAAGGGATCTTGGTAAGATCTTGTCACCTACCACATAATACTCTGACACTCATGGTGTGAGATTTCGATATGGAGTGAACAAATGAGATGGAAAGGGCTGGGGAAGCCGCTTGCAGGTGCCCGGTCCCCAGCCTGCTTGCTTGGGGAATGTTTCCATGGTGTGTGTTGCTGCTGGATTGAGGCCCAGAGAGACAAAGGAGCTGTCCCGTGCCAAGCCTTGGGCCACAGACACAGTGTGGAGTTCCTAGAGCACTCAGGGCGCATAGCCACAGCTGGAGCAAGTGGGAAAGGCCTCAGTCTTGTTTTCACTTCCTTTTTTAACCACCGAGAGGAAGTTCCTCACCCATGAACCATTTTTAGTACCTTTGTTGGTAAAAGGGCAGTCCGTGTTCCAGAATTAAAATAGCTAATATTTTTTGACAGGTATTTGGGGGAAAAACTGATATAGTCTCACTAATTTAGGTCATATTTATCTTTGGCTGAAATAAACGTTAAAGCCAAAATTGAGGAACCCTAAGGCTTTTAAACTCCTGTGGCCACAAGCTATTTCAATCTCTTCCTCCCTGGACCTTTGAGGCATCATAGCCTTCCCCACAAGCGGAAACTGGCTCGAACAACAGGAAGTGGCTCCCTCAAGCCCCCAGCAAGTCAAGGCTGGAACCTAAGAGTAGAACCAAGAAGCCTCCTGAGTCCACCCTGGGGCTTTCTGTTATCTTCCAGATGGACATCTCCCCGCTGCACACAAACACACCATTCTTTGCTGCCTCGAGGAATACATAGGCCAGTTTGAGTTTTATGGGGTTTTTTTCAAAGGTCGCCTTCCTGGCTGGCCACTGTGGCTGAGAGGTTTGTTTTCCCTCAGTACTGCTAATGATGGGCCATCCCTCAGCTTTTGGGTTTGTTGGAGGATGGCTGAGTTGCATGATGGTCTGCTTGCTGCCAGTTCATCTTCTGCCTAGAAGGGCATTTCCAACTGCAAGTTTGAGGTCCCTGCCCTTTCTGCTATGACTTCCTGTTAATTGGGCACTCAGAGTAAGCCAGGAACAGCCAAGGCCTTTTGCCTATGCTGCCTTGTTCATTCTTTATCTTATCAGAGTGAGTGGGTAAAGTTACCCTCTAGTTTGCAGATGTGACACCTTGGGCCAACCAAGCTGAAACTGCAGGTGGCAGGGCTGCCTGGGAGCTCTTCCCCATCTTAGGATGGCACTGCCACTTGCCTCCTGAGAAAGGTTAGTGTCTACCACGTGGGGGAGAATCCTATGTTCTTTTTCTTATAGTTATTCACAAATAACTTGGGCGAGCTGCTCCTTGGTCCTTTAGTCTTGGCTCAGAGATGAGGCACCTTTCCTTCCCAGAGCTTCAAGGCCCGAGAATCTGGGATGAAGTCATATGGGGTGGAGGAAGCCAGCATGACAGGGCAGGGCATGGGGAAGCACAGCCAGTTGTTCCCAAACTACTTTTCTGGACCACACCCGCACCATAGGCACCGCTTTGTCCACTGAGCATCCCTGTGTAGGGGTCAACTAGGAGACAGAAGATGGGCTCTGGAGTCAGAACTGGGTCTGACCCTGGCTGTGTGGCCTTCATTTCCTCAAAGGATCCTGAGTAACCCTGTGGGCAGGCTCCAGAGACCCCATCTGCAGTGTTGGTGAGCTATTGCCCCTAAAGTGACTTGCTGATCCACGGTCGTTGTTGGTTGAGATCAGAGGTTTTTGCTTGTTTGTTGTGCACCCCTATGAAGCTCTGAGTGGCCTGCAGGCCTCCTCCAGACATGCCCTTGCTCAATATACTCCACAAGAAGCTTGTCTGAAAGGGGAAAGAGAAGACAGCTAGGATGTTGGTTTTGTCTCATTGCGATTATATACATGTATGTAATATAAAATTGACCATTTAAACTAATTTTTTTCTTTTTAACTATTGTTGAGTGTACAGCTCACTAGCATTTTGAGTGTATTCACACTGTTGTACAACTAGCACCATCCATCTCCAGAACTTTTTTATTCTTCCAAACTGGGGAGAGCTGGTTTTTATAACACTGTTCAGTAGTTAGATTCTCTCCTGAGATAGGAAGGGAAGCTGAGTATGTTCTTGCCTTTTTTGCCAAACAGTCCCTGGCACTGAGGTTCCCTGACTGATCAAGGTGTCTCAGCTCCCATATCCATATCCCGTGATAGGGCCAGGAATATAGCTCAGGGGCACAAGCTCCTGCCTGGCAGGCGCAGAGTCCTGAGTTCAGTTCCCGGTATTAAAAAAAAAAGACATATCCCATGACTTGTGAGTAGGATGAGTCCCTGCCCGCTGGCTCTGGCCACATTCTGTCCTTCTAGTAGCAGCCCGGGGCTGCTCAACCTAAGCAGCGTTCATGTTTTGAACCAGGGAACCCTTCGCTGTGAGGGCTGTGCTGTGCACGGTAGGAGTCCAGTGGCCTCCCTGGCTGTCACTGTCTAGATGCCCGTAGCATTTCACCTCCCACTCCCCAGTAGAGATGATCACAGATGTTGTCAGAAGAATCCCTGCAATACCTCCTGCCTCACGCATGAGCTCATAAGGCCAGATGTGATGGCACACACCAGTCATCCCAGCTCTGGGAGGCTGAGGCAAGCACATTTGCAAGTTTCAGCCCAACCTGGGCAATTTAAAGACTTAGTGAAACCCTGTCAAAAAAGGACTGGGAATGTAACTCAGTGTGAAGACCTTGGGTTCAATTCCCAGTATGGCAGGAACATTTTATTTTGTTTGTTTTTGGCTTTTCTCCGGTACCGGGAACCGAACTCACGACCTTGCACTTGCCAGGCAGGCGCTTTGCCGCTGAGCTAAATCCCCAGCCCCGGCAGGAACATTTTAAAAAGAGAGGCGGCGGGGGCAGGGGCAGGGGGAGGAAGGTAACTTGGCAACAGGAGGGTTGAGGGGGTTGGGGAGTCATCACAGTGGGAGCACAGGCCAGCGGTGGGAGGAGCGAGGGGAGGGAGGGAGCACTAGGGAAGTGGAGAAGTGTGGGGAGGCGCTCAGGAAGGCCAGTTCCGGCAGCCGTGTGTGCAGTCTGCTCAGTCGGGACAGATCTGGGCCCACCGGTGGGTGCGGCTCAGATTTATCAGCCTGGGTCTCTAACAGAAGCCCATTTTATGGGAATGTTGTTTGGCCTGTCAAATTTTAGAATTGTTTAGAGGTAATGGTAAACAACAAAAGAAGACCTTTTGCCTTTAACAGCTTGGTTTTCTTTGCTTAAAATTAGAGTGTGTTCTTGCCATTCCTTCCAAAAGGCCTCCCTGGCTGAGAGATATCAGAGGGTTAGTGACTGACCAGGGCACTTGACATCTTCAGAGCCCATAAGCACCATAGCCATATCCCAGAGCTCAGGAACCTGATGACCATGTGCCCCCTTCAGCTGTATCTGCACTTGGGGCTGAAAGTGCTAACACAGCATGAAGTGCTTCTGGGAATTAGGGGATTCTGTGAAGTCTATGGGGTAAGTGTGGGTGTTGAATACCTGATCATATGCCTATTCCAGCGTGGTAGTCAGAAGGCAGAAGGGCAGACTGAGTCCCTTGTTTGTATACCCACTAGCAGGCCATGGCAAGGGCAATCCTATCAGCCTGTCGTAGTCCCTGCATCCTGGAAAACCCCCTGCCTGTGATCCCTTCTTTGACTGCAGCATTTCAGATCTTTCAGATCTCAGATCTTGGAACGAAGGCTGTCCTTGAGCCTACTCTGAACAGAGCTCTGTTCACTGCAGAGCTATTTTCAACCTCTGGTTGAAACTCACAGCTTATTTTTAGGCACATTTCATGTTGAAAAGCAAAAGCCATTTCCCAGCCATTCAGAATGAGAATAATGGGTTCCATTTCCCTCTATTCTTGGCTGAACTGTGCATGAGGAGGAGTTCAGGGCTTGTGGCTGGGGAACTTTCTCTGCTTGGAAGGTTGCAGATGAAGGCTTCCAGACCATGCTGTGGGCTGAGGGTAGCAGGAAGCTCTGTGCTCTGCCCTGTGACATGCTGCAAGGCTGGAGGAAGGGTGGAAGGGACACTTGTGGGCGGATGAGCACCTCCCTGAGGCGCTTGAGTGGGAGCAAGTAGTGGGGGCCTCACGGGGCCGTCTGTAGCAGGTGTCTTCAGGGTTTTAGTTCTTAGCTCTGCTCCCTGCCCCAACCCTGTCTTTTTGTCCCCTTCGTGTTTGTCCACCCTCCTGCTCTGTGTGTCTTGAGACCTGTTCCTGTTTCAGAAGGACCCCCCCGCCCTTGGCTTAGCTTGAATTTAGCATCAGCCCATCCCTCCAGCCCTCGGCCACCATAGGACGGAGTTCTGCCCCAACCACAGAAGGACTTTTAAACCAGTTTTTAAAAGTAAAGATGCGTTTATTTGGCTTTACTCTTACTTTTGCCCTCCCTCCAGACATCTGAGCCCTGTTGTGCAATTGGAAAGGAAGGTTTTACTGGGTGGAGTGGGAAGGGAAGGACACAGAGTTCTAGGTAATTCAATGAAACTGAAAACAAAAACAAAAACAAAACTACAGTATTTCCTGAGTTCTCAGGGTTGGCTGCTCTGCCGCTCAGCTATTAACCTTGAGTGGTGGGGCCAAGGGCTTCTCTCTGCTCACCTTTCAACATTTTACTTGAAGGAGAAATTTCACCTGTGGTTAAGAGCTTGAGTTCTGGCTTCTGGCCAACCTGTGATTGAATCCTGCCCCTGCTTACGTTGAGCTGTGACCCTGGGCCAGTGGCAGGGATCTCTGTGGAGCCTGACTTCCTTTTCTGTCAAGTAAGGAGACACCAGGCCCTCCTTTATGAGAGTTCCTGGGTGGCATGCCAAGCAGCACGTGGCACTGTGCCTGGCACATGGAAGGGCTGTAGCTATTTTAACCATGTTCCTTTCCCCTTTTCTTTCCCACTGAAAACCAGT